TTTTTTTTTTGAGACAAAATCTCACTCTGTCACCTCAGCTAGAATGTAGTGACATCATCATAGCCCACTGTGCCCTTAAACTCCTAGGCTCAAGTGATCCTCCTGTATTAGCCTCCTGAGTAGCTGAGACCTAGCACAACACCTAGCTAATTTCTCTATTTTTTGTAGAGACAAGGTTTCATTAAGTTGCCTAGCTGGTCTCCAACTCCTGAGCTCAAGTGACCCTCCCACGTTGGCCTCCCAGTGTTAGGATTACAGGCCTGAGCCACCGCTCCTGGCCAAGTTATGCTGCTGTTGCTCTAGCTTTCCTGTCTTGTCTGTGCTAAGAGTATGTAGGCTGATGTATGAGTACCAACCTCTTCTTTTTTCCTTGTTCCTGTAGTATCCACAGCTATTTACAGGAATTCTTTCTCCCTGGAAAGGACTACTGCTGTATGGCCCTCCAGGTAAACACATCTTTCAATTTTGGTCTTGGTGTTAAGTGTGTGTGCAAAGGATGAATTGTCCCTTTCTGGCTCCACTTGAGGATGGGGCAAATGACTGCTGAGTCTCCACTTCCTTCTTGAGTGTGAGACTGACTTCTGTCTGTAAGCAGAAGGAATGGTGTTTAAGTGCCACTCACTGTTTATGCACATGTGTCTCTAGGTACCGGAAAGACTTTACTGGCCAAAGCTGTGGCCACTGAATGCAAAACAACCTTCTTTAACATTTCTGCATCCACTATTGTCAGCAAATGGAGAGGGGATTCAGAAAAACTTGTTCGGGTAGGAATTCTTCATTTTGGTTTTTAAAAATAAGTTTTAGAGGAATATGGTAGTACAAAAGAAAGTTAGAACTTATTTGTTTGTAAATGATTTATGTGTTGGAGTTTATCCTGGGTCTTGATTACCAAAAGCCTGGCAAATGGATTGACTATTATATGTGGATAAGTCATTCCCCCATCAGCAAAACATGCTCTCCCTTCCTTTGGGAATTTGACCAACAGCCCTTTTTGATCCATTCAACTTAGGAATGGAAGCTGGGGGGGAAAATACCATAGTCTCTGAAGTGGCCTGTTTTTTCTTCATTCAGGAAGCATTTATTAACACATACAATATATTCAGTTAACGTTCATTGTGAGTCTACTATTGTGTGCTGTCTCTATACTTGGTACTCAAAGGATGAATCAAGACACATCAAACTTAATTATTCTATCAGGTGTTCTGAGCAGCTTTTTCTTCACGGTGCCCATAGCATGTAGGATTTTTAGGTTTCCTTAAGAGGTTGTTTTCCTCTTTACAATCTATCATTTATAGTCTGTGGTATATTTTATATAATAAAATTGTACTATATCTTCCAGTCATCTTAAGTGAACTCCTGGTTATGGTTTATGCTTTAATGTAAGATAGGTGCTTCTCATAAATCCTGCTCAGATTCTATAGAATGACAGACAAGTAATCAATACTAAGTGAATGTAAAATATTGCGTATTTTCTGAAAAACTATTACCCTAATATATTATGCTTAAATTATAGTCTTTGGATGACTTATTTTCAAAATCTTATGGCCTATTTGGAAGTCAGAATATTTTTAAACAATTGACTTACCTAAAACAACCTATTCTTTATTATTTTGACAAGATTTTCAAGTTGTTTCAAATGTATAAGCTTTTATGAATTCTTTTTACCCTTTCAAGATTGTTAACTTGTAGAAATCTGTGTTGAGATCTTCTGTGCTTTTCGTCTTAAGTCTAACTCAGGACCAGTTCCAAAGATGGGGCATAAATGTAGCTACACTACAGTTGTGGTTTCCATATGACTCTAGTTAGCTGGATTTCAATTATAGTTGGCCTTTGAATAACAGTTTGAACTGCACAGACGTACTTTTTTTTTTTTTTGAGACAGAGCCTCAAGTTATCCCCCTGGGTA